TTTCGTATAGTTCAATAGAGTTTCTGCTGCCTTATTCACATACTTTATAAGTTTATCATTGGCAGTCATGACAACAATTGCATCAACCATTCCTTCAAGAATTTGAATAAGTTCACTACTTTCCTCATTAGAATCTCTTAAACTTGAAGAGATTGTTGGTGGTGATTTGTTTGTTGGTAAAGAAATATTTGAAGAAATGTAAAGTTTCAGATAACGTTGTCCTGAATTTCTGTAATTTGCCAAACAAAGTTTAAAATCATCTTCCTTCTTCAATGTAATAATATCATCATCTTCATCCTTATATTTCAATTGAATTTGATTGGTAGAGGAAAGAATTGGTTTTCTAGATAAAACTTCCATTTTAACTTTTTGTAAAGTTAACTCATCCTCAGGAGAGAATCTTAAAATTGTTGCATCTGATTGATTTTCAAGAGAATCATAACATTTAATCATTATATCACTAGTAGGAATATTACTATTCGAATTAAAACTATGAACACTATCATTATCATTCATTGTTGATTGATAGGAAGTCATTGACCTAGTTTCCAGTGATGGTTTTCCTTGCATTATTGTTCCTTGATAACTTGATTGATTTTCCATTGTTGTATTGCTGGTAGAGGAGGGTGGATCATCTTCCTCTGTGAGAAATTCATTGTGTTGAACTAGGTAGTCTAATTGTTTTTTCAATCTTTTACGATGACCTAATTTGGATATTTTCAAGTCTTTGACTAAATCATCATCAGTTAATTCTAATAATTCTGCACCTGTAATATCCCTATATATATATATATATAAAATATTGAAATTGGAAGAATAAACGAAAGAAGAATTAACCTACATTTTTTCAAATTCCTTGCAATAGTCTTGCAAATCAATTGATTTTAACCACAGAGACACATCTTTAGCACTCCAATCACAAATAGCCTTTTCCAATAACTTTTTCCTAATTTTAATCTTTTCATCGTCGTCAGTGGTGGATGTTGAATTTTTGTTACCCTTGAAGAAACCAGCAAGTTTTTTCATCTTTTTGAATGTTGAATGATGTGGAGAAGTAATGTTGTTTTTTTTTAATGTTTTTTTTGAAGTCTATAAAATTCTCCATTAATGGATGCCTTCAAAAATGCCGTCAAATGTCAATGTTAGAATATGTCCAAATTAGTGTTTTATAATAAGAACTAGCTAGATGCAACAGTTTGGAAATAACAACATCTAAATTCTCAAAGTGGAAAGAGGTAATTGTTTTTAAACATTTCCTTACTGATATTTGGTTCATTATAGTATTTCGAAAACAATTACTCAATACAACTTATTAACAAAGATTATCAGTGCACTTTTTTATCTAAAATATTTAACACCTGCATTATGATATGCAATACGATGATGTCCTATGAAGATCGAATAAGAACATCACAAAAGGTCCATTTTATTTTCGCGCTCTTTTTTGTATGAAGATTTAACCTCAATGGACGTTAAAATATCAGAAAAAAAAGCCTTACAGAAGAGGGAAGTTTTGAGGCTCAAGCATATCTGTAATCATACTACAGCCTTATTAAAATTGTTTTGTGTATAGACGAGAGAAGAAATGGATGCAAGAGCTGCTGCATGTTTGAGTGATGATGAGGATGAGTTTCAAACATTTACTACCTCAAGACCAACAGAAGAGGAATACAATCAATTGAATATCACTGGAATTTCGGAAGATTTGTTGATGAATAATAATGTAATTTTTGATACTTCTAACTTGGATAAGTATAATGAGGATGAGGAAAATATGTACACTGCAAGAAGTCACATGACTCAGGCAACTCCGAGAACAAGTAGATTGTATGAAAAGAAGATTGTTCCTCAACAAGGAGTTCCTTTGAGAGATCCAATAGAGCATCATCAAATCATTTCAAGAGCATCTGATTGTATCAAACATTTAAAAACAGCTTTAAATTCACCAATTAACACCAGTAGTACACAAGAGGAATCCAAGAATGCACTCTCATCACTCAGGATGATGGATGAGCTTGACTATTCCTCTCAGTATGAAATTTACCAATCTCCTTATGAACAAAAATTGAGCAAGGTTTCTCAATTGAAGGCTAAACTCACAGAGAAAGCATCTCCAAGGTATATGGAACCTAAGAAGCAAATCACCCCTCCAAAAGAAACGTTCTCTCCTCAACTCAATAGTAAATCAGCAAAATCCTCCCCAAGATATTTGGATTTTATGAAATCTCCAAAGCAAGAGAAAACTGCAAGACAAATAGTTCAAGAGAAGAAGGATTTGGAACTTTCAAGAAGAATGCCATATGTTAAAACTTCACCAAGCAAGACAATTACCTCTCCAAGAAATATTACCTCCCCTAAATCAAGAAGCAACTCTTTTAAATCTGACCCACCCCATATACCAGCCCTTCCAAACAAGAACTCAACTGGTAAAAAAACAACTCTCGTTAAAAAGCTAAAAGGAGACAATTTATTGCAAGTTAGTGATATTAATGAAAGTTTTGAAGAAGAAAACCTATTGGATGAAAGTATTGAAGAAAGTGCATTATACGATAATGATGACGATAACGAATTTTCAAACATTGAAACCACTTTGAACGAGTTAGATCATATAGATGAAATTGGATTGGAAAGTCCACCAGACACATTATTTATTACTTCTGACAATTTAGAACAGCTCATAGAAGAAAGGAACAAACAAGAAGAAAATGACCCACCAACTGATGTAGATATTGTAGATCAAAGTCAATCACCTGAATCGTCAGAAAATGATGAATTCCATATTTCAATTGACGAAGATGCGGTGTTTAACAATGAAAACGTCGAAGAGGCCCCAGAGCATGCTGATGAGATAACCATTGGCAATGATGAAAAGCAAATTGAGAAATTAGATGATATTTCCTCTGAAACCCAAGTTGAAGAAAGTGAACTACAAGAAACACCCATTGAAGTATCTGACCTCTCCACTACTTCAAATGTTGGAGATTCAATGGAAACAGAGATAGCTGGACACTTCACAACTTCCAATGTTGAAGAAATACAAGAAACACCTGTTAAACTATCTGAGCACTGCACTGAAACTATAGAATCAGAGAGTGCAAGTATCATTCCTGAAGATGTTTCCCAAGTCGAAGCGAAATCAGAAGGGGGAATCGAAAATTCTCCAAGTAAGGTAGATACTGAATTTGAAACATCAGACAAAGTATTAGTAGATGAAGTGTCCTCAGCCGAAAATTTTCAAACAGAAGAACCAATCATAGGAACAATCCAAGAAAAACCCCAAAAGCCAAAAAAGAAGAATAACAAGAACAAAAAGAATAAGAATAAGAACAAGAAAAAGTAAATCTATTTATTTTTGAAAGGTTGCAGACATTTCGTCATCCTCAATGAAAGAATCATCACTGTTCTTACTCATTTTCAATATTCTTCGCAGTCTATCAAGTTCTTTTCTGCATTCAGATAGCTCTCTTGATGTTTTATCCTGATAATCTGAAAAATTCTTTTGTTGCTTTACAACCAAGTCTTCCAATTCATTTCCTGAACTCTTTTCATTCCTCAGTTCGGTTTGTAACTTTTCATTCATTACTAAATTCTTCTTATTCTCTGACTCGTAATGGGAAGCTAAGTTCTTATAAAATATTACCTTCGTTTCTTCTTCAAAGTTTTGTGAACTATTAGCTCTCTGTATTTCTTTTAGTAATTTTGATGCTTCATTCTCTGCACTAATCTTGTATTGAACAAATTCGGACCGAGTGGAAGTCAATTCATCTTTCAATTTGTCAGCTGTGTCCTTCCAACTTTTAATTTGAGCTTCCAGCTCCTTGACCTCTCTATCTCTGCTTGCGTTTATGGAATCGATTACTGTTTGCCTGTCCATTGATGGAGAAAGTTGGGATGCCTGTGATGGAGAGGATAAGTTCTTTTTGCTGTTACTAGGTGAATCCTTCTTTGACTTTGGTGTTGAAAATGGGCTTAATTTGTTTCCCTTTAAGCTGTCTTCTTTATCATCTTGCTCTGGGAACATTTCCTCAATTTCCTCTTCGTCTGATGATGAGGATTCAGTATCCTCAAAGTAAGTGTGACCTCCTTCACCATTCATATTCATCCCACTTCTAAATCGAATGAGTTTTTGATCAATATCATTTGATATATGCATTTGGTTCAACTTTTTGATTTCCAATGTCAGCTCTTTAATTTTTCGCTTCTTTTTATCAAGCTCTTGACTCAATTTTTCTATATACTTGGTATAGAGTCTTTCTTTATCTTCAGACCCTTCCTTTTCCTTCGATTTTGGTTTCTTTTCCTCATAAAACCCTAAACTTGTTTCTGCTCTTCCTCTTGTATCATTGAAACTCTTATTTGAAGTTATATTATTGTGTACTTGTGTTGTATTACTGGAAACAAAGTTTTTAGTTTGAGGAGTTGGTGATATCGACCTCAATATATTACCGTTCGATTTTTCAGTTTGTAAACTTGGAAGTAACTGATTGGCACTACTTCTTTTCACTAAAAGATTTTTCCCATTAGTCGTTTGTATAGGTTGTAATAAGGTAGGTATTCCTGAGCCTACGGAAGTACCTGGAGGAGATAAATTATAATGTGTTGAAGGTTGATGAGAATGATTATATTGTTGATGATGAGGATTTATATTATTTTGAATTGATCCGTTCGATGTTGAAGGTTGAAAAGCTACAATCAAATTATTTGGGGGAGGTATATTATTTAAATATTTAGAAGGCTTTCGGGTGAACCCATTTCCATTATTTGATATCGATGAAGTGGCAGGTAATTGAGGTGTTGGAGGAAGGTGAGCATAATGATGAGAAACTGAATTTCTGTCCAACATCATTTCAAACCAGATTAAAATTACTATTATTTGATGATGATTATTACTACAAGGAATGATGAATTCTCACTCCAGTGATACAGACTTGACACAATAAGTTTTAAGAATTGCAATAAAGCCTTAGTAAAAATTTTTATATTGAGCAGCAACAACACAAAAACAATTAAAAGAAAAATTTTTTTTGGAGATAGTGAAGAGGAACAAGAACAACCGACACTAACGAAAAGTGTAGAGTAAGGCTAATACTGTCTGTTAAAGAAATCACGCTAGCCTCTTTTCATATTTGGAATATTCGTAAATGGTTCCAATTAAAAAAAATGAATCAACATCCCACTTCATTTCCACCTTCTCAACAAGAACAAGAATATCGGAATGGTGATGATCATAACCAAAAACAAATGTTGAGCACGAAGGCTTGTTTATCATGTAAAAATTCACATAAAAAGGTAAGAAGAAGAAATTAAAAGGAGATTGCAATCATTTGATGATCATCAAGTGCGATAAATTAATTCCTGCTTGTTCTAGATGTAAACAAAAAGGCTTTAAATGTGAATATAATTATGAAACTCCATCTTTAAAAAAGAAAAATGTTCGAATGAATCCTCTGCATAATAACAGTGCTAATGAAAATGTTAGACAAATTAAAAAGAATACAATTCAGACGTATGCTGAAATAATTTGTATTGGTTCTCCTGCATTTTCAATGGAACAAATGGAAGAGATGATATTTATGGATACAAGTACACTTATTAATGAAAGAAAGGATATTTTGGCATATTTATTATCTGTTCAAGGATTGTGTGAGCAGAGGTTTGGATTTTTGGATTTTTCTGAAAAATCAATGCAAAGAGCAAGAGAAGTGCTGAAACACGTTTATGATCAAAACGAAAATCAATATGTGGCATGCACCTATAATCATATGGCATTCTATTTTGCAGGTACAATGGACAGGAAACGAGCTAGATTTTATTTGAGTTGTAGTGAAAACTTTATTTCGGAATTGGATATCTATGCAACCCAAAGAAATTTATCAAAACAAGAGGCTCTACAAGAAAGGCAACATTCTTTCGGATCTAATGTTGTAATGAGTGTGAGAGATTTTATGATATTTAAAAATGTTGTTGAAACTCTTGCAAGTCAATCTAATCCTCTACCAGTTTCAGATATTCTAGAAAATACGTTTTATCAAATTGTTGGCATTGAAATTCCAGAAGAATTGAAAAAATATGTAGATTTCAACTTGATCAATATTTATGATATTAATACATTGGAGGAGAGAATTAGAGGGTTTGAAGCTGTATTCAATATGATTCATGTTTCATTGAAACAATCTGTTAGACCGAGTATGTGCCAAAAAATGCACGAATTTGTACAATTATTTATGCTCAATGGTGTGAGAATTTTAAAAATCTCAATAGCCAATATACCAATACCTCTCAGTAAGGAACACGAACCCTGGATTAAATTACTGGAACAAAGTGCTCTCGCGCTGACTGAAGCATCACAAACAGATTTTTTCTCTTTCATCTCACCTCTAATGATACCCTATTATCTTGCCAGTGCTAATGTAAATTTGGAGATTCTTAAATCAATTGTGGAGGGTAAACGACAAAATAATCAACCATTTCCAAGAGTTTACAGATTTGGAATTCATGAAATATTTCCAGAAGAAATTCTTACAGACACAGTTGACTATTTTCAAGTTGTCAAGAAGGATTTAAGAGCACTACAGGTATTATCCAGTCGATACAGATACATTTCTGTCTATGTGGAAAACACTGAAAAATTATTAATACAAGCTGAAACTCAATTCGAGCATAACGTGGAATTCACTTCTAATTCTGAAAGTAATTCATTTGATAGAACATTCTCCTACTACAAACAAATGAGACAATTCCTATTGAAAATTAATGATAAGATTGATAAATTCCTACCTCAAGAAGAAGAACTTTTAGAATTTCTCAATGATAACGTTGATCCTTTCCTCTGTCAGGATATGGACATTTCAGAATTTAACAGTTATTTCCTGTAACATTTAATATAAATTATTTAATACAACTTAATTTTTAACATTATTACAATATGTAAAATCTTAATTTCTAAATAACAACCAAATTGAAAGCAAAAAGTAAAAAACGCAGAAATTATTATTTTCTATAAATTAATTTAAAAAAATGTCTGAACCTCAAGGTGCAACCCTCCGTAATGCTCGTTCTATCTACAATGCCAATGAAATGACATTGGCTATGAATGTTGCTAAATCACGTGAACGTTGCAGATGGGCTGGTGGTTACTTGAGTGTATTAACTATTGGTAGTATGGGTTATTGGGCCCTTGCTAAGAAATTCCCTGTCGGAGCCTTGATTCCTATCAGTGCTGTTGCAACCTATGCTTTGTGGGAATATGATTTAGGATATGGAAATAAATTACATAGAATGGGTCAAGAAGCACAACAAATTCAAACCAAGGAAAGATATAAATATTTCGGAAAGTATTAAATACTCTTGTGATGATATACTTCAGCAAGCATTGGATATGTAAATTGGATGTTATTGTTATCAGCACGGTTGATTGGTGCTATAGGCAATAATTTTGGCTCAATTTGTTTAATTATTATTATAAGGAATGCAGAAAAGGCGAATATAATTTATTTTGTAAATAAATTATTGTTTTATTAACATTTTATCATCTTTGAAGACATTACTTTTGATAATTTAGTGGAACAACATTTTAGAGATCAAATCAGGACCTAATTCTTCATAATCAGCACGTCTAATCCAACGATCTTGGAATGAAGACAAACTTGAAAGAATTGAACCACCAATCCAAACTGAATATTTACGTTCAGGAGGAGCAATAATTCGTAATCTAACAGCACCACCTACCATACGTGTCATTTCACGTGTTAAACGTTCTTGAATACCCTTAATAAGAGTATTACCACCAGAGAGAATGACATTCTTAAACATATTCTTTCTGATATCCATATTACAATGTTGAATTGAGGTATTTAACAATTCGTGAATACCCAATTCTTCTGAACCAATCATATTTGGTTGGAACAAAATTTCTGCAGCTTGGAAACGTTCACAATCAATATTAATAAATGTACCATCTGGTAATTGGAATTGATTTCTGAATTCATTCTTCTTTGATTCTTGGAATAATTTCAAAGTGTGATCATAATTCAAAGCAACATAACATGAAGCTTCCTTAACATCACGAACGAAATCTAATGAAGCACTATTTTGTGTAAAATCATATCCAGAATGTTGTAACATTAATTTTGTTAAATGATTAGTAATATCACAACCTGCCAATTCACTTTTTAACATGGCATATGTTTGAGGATAACCTTCAAACACTGGAACAACGTGTGTCGATCCATCACCTGAATCTAAAACAATACCATCTAAATCACCAGTTGCATATATTGAGAGCAATCCTTGAATTGCAAAGAATAATGAATGTGATTGGAATTTTTCAAATAATAATTGAATATACTGTTGACGATGAGTGACTGATGTCAATGGTTGTTCTGTCAATAAAATTGGGTGATCTTTTGGATTAACACGTAAATGGAAATGATAAATATGTTCTAATAACAATTCAATATCATCCCAATTTTGAACACCTTTACCTCCACGATTAATTGGATGAGATAATTCACAAATACCCTTTCTTTGATGGGCTTCCAATCCAACAAAATATGATTTTGCTTCATTCATTTTCTCTCTTGCTCCAAATAATTTACGAGTGTCGACATGACTTTTTGGTTTTCCAATAATTGTTGGGAAAACTGCTTTTGGAAATTGTTCTCCTGCCAATCCTGCTTTAACAAAACTACTTCCCAAATCACAAACAATGGCTCCTTGATGGTCACGAATTAAATTCATGGTATTGATGTGTCCGGTATGAGCAACAATGGTATCATCATTGATAGCTTGTGCTCTCTTATTATATGGTATATAGGACATTGTGAAAATATAAAGATACTGTTATTATTATTTCTGCACTGTTGATGAAGAATTTTTTTTGATGAGTGAAGGTAATGGATGACATTTAAATGACAGACAGGTGAAAATAGATTACTCTATATTGTCTGATCATTAAGAGTGAAAAAACATCATCAATTACTAATTGATGATGAAAATTAATTGAATTTGTTTTTATAGTATAGTAGTACATGCAAAATTGTTGAAATAAATAAGTAGATCTCTCACAAAATTAATCCTTCTTTTTCTTCTTCTTGTCATCCTCATCATCGGAATCATCCACGTCATCTTCTCTGATATCATCCAATCCTCTTCCAACTAATTTTCTCCAAACAATCTTTGAAATTAAGGAAAACCAAAAGATGTGAAGACAAACCAACATTGCCATCAAAGCGATCAAAGCCCAATATGGACTTAAACAATAACGTTGGAGGCAAATACCATAATCACTAACTTCAATAGGAGTCACGGAATCACTCACATAACGTACCAGATAATATCTTGATGGATAATCCCAACCTGCATAATTTGTCAATGATTTAAGAATAAGTGATGGGAAGTAAATTAATCTCAACAATAAGAAAGCCAACACAAAGAGAACAAATAATGCTGTAGTGGTGGATTCCCTTGCTTTCATGTGTTTAGAAGCCTTGGCACAGTAGAGAAAAATATCGACAACATCATGTAAAATTAATACTAATGTTCCAATACGATGATAATAAACGGAAATACAACCATAAATCAAGCCAATAGTAACCAAGTGATGAACGAGCATTTCCCAGAAATCCTTCATCTTTTCATCAACAAAAATCAGTGTAAATAAAGCTTGAACATAGAAACCTGCTCCTACAAGCAAATATTCTCTCATAAGTGGATATTCAAAGCCAGTGTGTTGTTCAGGATAACCAATAATTAAATGATTTAAATCAAATAACCACGGAGTTTGTTGCAAAATTAAAAAGCCTGCAATTGATGATATTGTATAATAAAGAGAAAACCAAGTATTTTCTTGAACTCTGTGAGCTTTAGCTGCAGCTTCCTTTTCATCCTTTTTATCATTTGATTTCTTGTTCAATCCAAATAAGTGAGCAACAATTTTTTCAATAACAAGTCGTCTAACAATAAAGATAATCACAGCAGAAATTAATACAAATTGTGTATCTTGATAAAGCCAATTACTTCTTCTTATTGGTGCAGGTTCATTACTACCAAAAATCATAGGGAAGGAATGCGGTGGACCATTTATAATACCTTCTTTTTGTGTATAAAGATAGGAATTATTAGATCCCATCACTCCGAACCAAGAATCAACCACGTGATAAAACAAGTTACCACCAGCAGCTGTTTGAGATGAAGACATTTTTTACGAGTGAGTTGAAATTTTGTGTGTTGAATATTTGGGCGCCAAATTTGTACGAAAAATGTAACCGTTGGGTCTTCGAAGGAAAATTAGAAAGTCTTAAGCGTGCAAGCGAAGAAGGCAGCTTGGAAGTTGTTTTTTTTCTACTTGAGATTTGTTTTAATGTTCTAATGATGTTGTTATCATGATCACAGTGGATAACACATCAGTAAGGCTTCTAGAAACATTAATCGCTATCCCGGTGTTATCCAACTAAATCTTCTCTCTCCGC